ATCCCTTGAGTCTGTTTGTGAACAATTTGCAATCTGGAAGATGTATGGGCTATTGATGGGCTAAGGCAAATGAGTAGTAAAACGGTTGGGCGATTTAGAAAGAAAGAAGAAAAAAAAATTCAACAACACACAAACAACAAAAGAATAAAAAAATGGATCAAAACACTGGTTTTTAAAAAAATCAAGAACACGAAAAAAAATTAAAACACTAAATCAATTAAATCTTTAAAAAAATGATTAAATCACAAAAGTTTGAGAATAACAAAGATTCACAAAGTAATTCTGCATATTTTGATCCCGGTTTAAACACGAAAACACAAAAAATTTAAAATTTTTGGATCAAACCTAAAGAAAAATGAAGAATCGTAAGAAAAAGATGAACACACAAAAGTTCCAGAAAAAATTTCTTCACAAACCTTCAAAATTGATGATTTCTTTTCATGATTTCGTACATTTCCTGCTCTGATATCAATTGAGAGTCCAATATGATCAATCTTCAAGTTAATCTCTAACAATCCATGACAGATTTGATATGAACATTTAAGAACATAAAATAGATGATGAGAGAAAAAGTCAATCTGTCAAAGCTTGTAAATCTCTCTAATTGTATACGTATTATTACAATGAATCCCTTACAAAATTTACAAAGACAAACCCTTTATATATGGTTAAACTTGAAAGCCTAGTCAAAGTCAAACTATCATAAGGAAAGTCAAACACAATGACTTTTACAACAATTATAGACAATAGTAACCTTTCAAGTCGAATACAATTTACACTGAAATTCAGTCCAAACAAGGAGGTTTTTACCCAAGTTAATATATCGAAATAGGAGACTTTTGGCATAAGAAACATAAATTATGAAGATGGATAGGTCCCTGAAATTTATAAGGTCAGCTATCCAGAAGGTTCAGCTGTTTGCGCACTTGTTTTATGAAGGCTGTTTGGAGGTCGAAATCTCAACGTTTTTGGGTGAGACCACTTGGGTTTAAAAGCTAACACACAGACTTAAATTCCAGAAGAAGTTTCAACTTCTTTGGTTAGGTATTTTAGAAGTTACGGTCCTCCGAAGACAGTAGATAGAATCTGTCAGATTGCTAAAGGAAGGGGGTATTAAGAATATGTGTTCCAACCTTTGGTTCTTACACACGTATTTGTTTAGATTATGATTTATAAACTTTAAATCAAATGAAAAGAAAGAAATGAAGAAAAATATATATATTATGATGGAAAAAGAAAACTAGATAAGCCATCAAAACATGCATGCATCAAGATAAACAAAGTTATCTTGCTAAAAATCCTAAATATGATCGTCATGTGTGGTTAATGAGAAATCCTTTGAAATCCAAGCCTTGGGCTCTTTTTTTTTGTACTTGAGATATGAGATTAATCACATGCATGAAGTTAAAAACTTGTATTTGATGAGTATGAATGATTTTTATGCTTTATTTTGATACCAAAATGATGTAAACTTGAATACATATTTGGATGCTAGTCAAATCTCCAAATGCTCTTTCCTTGATCTTAACTTGGGTTTGATCATGGATTATCACCATCTTAGAACATGCAACATGTTTTCGGGTGAAAATCTACAAAGATCAAGATCCTAGAAATAGTTCTTAGGAGGAACAATTTTTAAAATCAAAAGGAAGGAGAAATACACAAAGTAACTAAAAAAAACTACTACTAGGTGAGATGAGTTTTAAAACTCTTTGGGATGAATACTTACCTTCAAAACACCTTCTAAACTCTTGAAGATGATGTTTAGGCGTTGGATCTTAGAGGGAGAATAGATAAAATTGAGAGAATTCTAGAAGGAGGTTAGAGAGAGAGAGAGAGAGAAGTTTCCAACTCTTGGTATGGAAATGGGAAAATGAGGGGTGTTAGGGGGTTTTAAATTGGAGAGAGAGGGGGAGTGTATTTGGACGGCCAAATGAAGGGGAGGGGGAAGGGAATGGTTTTTGGGAAAGGAGAGTAGTAATGAGGTTTTAAAAGTTTGAAAAAAAATAGGTGATTTAATTGAATTCTTTTTTTTTAAATTGAATTTAAATAATTATAGATGGATAATTAATCTAACTTTTAAGACCCTCTATTTTTTTTTTTCAAAACATATCTAGATAAAAAAAAATGAGACATGTTACTTGAATAGGCATCTTATGAACTAATTAAGCAATTCAGTCTCCTAAGAACAAAATAGGCAAAATTTCTATATTTTTTTTCTAATGGACACATGACTTAGCTTCTAATTTCTAATTTCAAAAATGAGACGAGCCTATACTCACCAATGCGAGATGCCTATGACCAGAACTGACCTGAATTTATTTTGTCAGATGTCACAGTCTCCCCCGGTTGGAAGAATTTCGTCCCGAAATTCAATGGTTACCTAATATGACTGCATCTTGAGCAAAGAGGTGAGGATACTTGCGCCTCATAAAATCCACACGTTCCCAAGTATATTCAGGCCCACGCCTTGATTTTCAACGAACCTTTAGGATCGGAATTCTACTTCGCTTTAACTGTTTAACTTCTCTGTCGAGGATCTCAATGGGTTCTTCTATGAAGTGCAATGATCATCAATCTGAACGTCTTCTAGGGGCATGATCAATGAGTCGTCAGCCAAGTATTTCTTAAGATTTGACACATGGAACGTATTATGAATGGCGCTTAATTTCTGGGGTAGCTTTAGTTTGTATGCCACTGGACCAATTCTTTCGGTGATCTCGAATGGTCCAATATACCGAGGGCTTAACTTCCCTTTCTTTCCAAATCGCACTAACCCTTTCCACGATGACACTTTTCAGAGCACTTTATCCCCAATCTGAAACTCAAGAGGTTTCCTCCGGTTATCCGTATAACTTTTTTGACGATCCTTGGCGGCCTAAAGTCTTTCTCTACTGATTGATATCTTATCAGTAGTTTCCTGCACGATGTCTGGTCCCGTTAGTTGACTATCCCCAATCTCCAACCAACTAAGTGGTGATCGACATTTACGCCCGTATAAGGCTTCATATGACGCGCATTGAATACTAGTGTGATAGATGTTGTTGTAATAAAACTCTATCAATGGTAAATGAATGTCCCAGCTTCCTCCGAAATCGATCACGCATGCTCGAAGCATATCTTCTAAAGTCTGAATTGTACGATCACTCTGCCCGTCCGTTTGGGGATGATAGGCGGTGCTTAAATTTAGCCGTGTACCCAGCGCCCTCTGAAGTGATTGCCAAAACCACGATGTGAAGCGACTATCTCTATCCGAGATGATGGAAATAGGTACTCTGTGTCTTGCAACAATTTCGCTGATGTAGATTTGAGCAAGCTTCTCCAGTTTAAAATCTTCTCAAATAGGAAGGAAATGTGCAGATTTTGTCAGCCGATCCACTATTACCCAAATCGCGTCATGACCTTTAGCGGTTCTAGGCAGTTTGATGATAAAATCCATGGAGATTTGTTCCCATTTCCATTGTGGAATCTCGGGTTGTTGTAACAATTCGGATGGCTTCTGATATTCTGCCTTGACCCTTGAGCAAGTCAAACATTTCCCAACGTACAAGGCTATATCTTTTTTTATTCCTAGCCACCAATAGTACTCTCTTAGATCCTTATACATCTTATCCACCCCTGGGTGAATCGAATACCTAGATCTATAGGCTTCCTCCAAACCCAACTCCCGTAGGTTGTTAGTCTTCGGAATCCAAACTCTGTCCTTGAGGTAACGCACTCCATCTGACTTAGTCTTAAATTTATGCTCTAGATTATGCAGGGTCTCGCTCTTCAAATTTTCTGCCTTTAGCACTTCATCCTGAGCTTCAAGAATTCGAGTCTTCAAACTCGTCTGAACAAGCGTTCCCAAAGTTCGTACTCGAGAGGGTTTTATCCTTTCCTTCCGACTTAGAGCATCTGCCACTACGTTGGCCTTACTTAGGTGGTATCGAATTTCACAATCATAATCGCTGAGCAATTGCACCCATCTTCTCTGTCTCATATTGAGCATCTTCTGATCGAGGATATGCTGGAGACTTTTGTGTTCGGTAAAAACAGTACACTTCGTGCCGTACAAATAATGCCTCCATATTTTGAGAGTGAAAACCAAACTCCTAGCTCTAGGTCATGAGTGGTATAGTTATTTTCATGGGCTTTGAGTTTCCTTGAAGCGTATGATATAACCTTGTCTTTCTGCATCAATATGCAACCCAAACCTTGGCGGGATGCGTCGCAATATACTACGAAGTTTTCGGTTCCTTCTAGCAAAGCCAGAATTAACACGTTGCATAACTTATGCTTTAGCAGTTGGAATGCGTCCTCTTGGGGTTTTCCCCAAACAAATTTCTTATCTTTATGGGTCAATGCTGTTAATGGTTGGGCAATCTTTGAGAAGCTCTCTATAAATCATCGGTAATAACCTGCCAAACCCAGAAATTGACGAATTTCTGTCGGGGTCTTTGGTGCTTCCCACTTCTTTATGGCCGCAACCTTAGTCGGATCCACATGAATTCCTTTTTCGCCACTCATATGACCGAGAAAATGTCCCAAATCCAGAATTTATACTTTGAAAATTTAGCATACAATTCTTGCTCCTTGAGCAATTCTAACATCATCTTCAGATGCTGCTCGTGATCTACCCTACTCCTTGAATAAATCAGGATATCATCAATGAACACGATTACAAACTTGTCTAGATACGGTCTACAGATCCTATTCATTAAATCCATAAATACCACCGACGTGTTAGTCAGACCGAAGGGCATAACTAGGAACTCGTAGTGCTCATATCGAGTCCTAAAAGTCATCTTAGGGACGTCCTCCTCACGAACTCTTAGCTGATGGTACCCTGATCGAAGGTCAATCTTAGAGAAATAACATGCGCCTTGCAACTGATCGAACAAATCGTCAATTCGGGGAAGGGGATATCGGTTCTTGATTGTCAACTTGTTTAACTCCCTATAATTTATGCACATTCGAAACGACCCATCCTTCTTTTTGACGAACAGAATTGGAGCTTCCTAAGGTGAAGAGCTTGGCAGGATGAATCCTTTGTCCAGAAGTTCCTGAAGTTGACCTGACAGCTCTTGCATCTCAGCCAGTGCTAAGTGATATGGAGCTTTAGCAACAGGAACCGCCCCGGGAACTAGGTCAATTCGGAATTCGACCTGTCTATATGGAGGAAGTCCAGACAAATCATCCGGAAATACTTCTGGATAATTTCTCACCACAGGAATATCCTGAATCTGCTTTTCCTCAGATTTCCTTTCTGATACATGAGCCAAGAATGCAACACACTTCTTCCTCATATACATGCAAATCTTCACACATGATACCATCTTTAAACTCCTTCCGGGTTTTTCCCCTTGTATAGAAAAGGTTTCTCCATCTTGGAAAGGTATTCGTACAATCCTCTCAAAGCAACAAATCTCCGCTCGATTCTTAGACAACCAGTCCATTCCTACCACTACATCGAAACTTCCCAATTTAATTGGAATAAGATCAATACTAAATAACTTATCAGCTAGATTTAAAGTACAACCCAATATTACGTCCCTAGCCTTTATTTCTTGGCCATTGGCAAATTCGATAGTGTAAACATCTTTCAACTTCCTCGATTTCAGATTTATCAACTGCCTAAATTCTAGGGAAACAAAACTTCTATCTGCTCCGGAGTCAAATATTACTGAGGCATAGAGGTTGTTTAAAAGAAACGTACCTGTCACAACATTAGGGTCTTGACGTGCCTCTTCGCCTCCTATTGCGAATGCCCTTCTCCGAGCCTGGCCTCCTTGATTTCCTTGACTGGCTTGCCTTACCTAGTTTCCAGCATTGTTGATGCTCGATCCTCTAATCATCCTTGGGCACTTATTCCTGAGGTGGTCCTGACTTCCACACTTATAGCATACTCTTATTCCGTCCTTGATTTCCTTTTCCCCTCTACAGTACTTGGTGATATGACCCAACCGATTACATTTGCCACATATAAGATAGGCCCCTGCATGGTGATAATTACATTTGCTGCATTTTGGAAGTGGCCGACTATACTGCCCCGGTTCCTGAGCCTTTACTCCAAAATTCTTCACCACTCTTTAGTTCTTGCCTAAATTGTTGTTGGACCTTTTCCACGATTGCCCCTCTGGTTTCTTCTTTCCACCAAATTTGTCTTGCTTTAAAATTCCTGATATAACTGCATCATTGGTCAGACGGTTTGCCAAAACCACCGCCTTTTGTATAATGGTTGGGTTTGCCGACATGACCATCCCTCGAATTTCAGGTGCCAATCCCCAGATGTACCGATCAATTTGTTTCTCTTCCGGAGTGACCATATGAGGTACTAACTTGGCAAGCTCGTGAAAACGAGCAGTGTATTTGTCCACCTCCATTCCAACCATGGTGTGATTCCAGAATTCAACTTCCAACTTCTAAATTTCGCTCTTAGGACAATACTCCTCAATAAGTAACTTTTTGAGTTCTTCCCATGATAGCTCATAGGCAGCTTGGCGACAACGGGTTTGAACTTGTATGTTCCACCAAGTTAGGGCTCTACCCTGAAGTTGGCATGTTGCATACTCCACCTTACAGTCATCAGAGCACCTGCTGATATGGAGTACCGACTCCATGCTCTTAATCCATGATAGTAGTCCAATTTGTCAGGACTAAAAATTAGTGTAAAATTGTATTCGTCTTGAAAGATAAAATTGTCTATAATTGTAGAAAAGTCGTCGTGTTTGACTTTTCTTTAGAGAAGTTTGACTTTGACCATGTGTATTGTTTGACCCTATAAATAGGGTATTTCCTTTGTAATTTTTGATAGGATACTTCATTGTAATATCAGATTCATAATAGTGAAGTTTGACCAAGATTAAAGCTTTGACTTTCTCTCTCTCTACTCCTTATATGTTCTTACATGAATATATCCAGATCTGCCATTGTTCTTGAAGATTTAAGGAAGATTGATTGATTGTGGACTCACACAATTGCACCTTCCTTGCCATGAAACTCCTTGGGCTTGCAGGACATGAATGTCTTGTAAGTGCATCCTCTATTGTTGGTCTTACGGTTCTCTTCCCTGACGAGGTTCTCGGTGCTAGGGCCTCACTCCTTTGACTTGCATTGATGCCCACTGTAACCTGAGCGACAATAGTTGATACCGCCTCCCGGATTTGCTGAGCTACTATCTGCGCTATATCGGGTGTTTGGCTTTCATGTTTCCATCTCGTGCTGCGTGCGCTCCTTCATGGGGGCATGGTTGTAGAATATGTTCACAAACGTTTATTTGATTAGAAAACTTTTGTTTTCGGATATTATATATGCGTGTATATATATATATATATTTATTATTATTTTTTGTAATTTTTTTTTAAAAAAAGGCGATACTTATTCTTCAATACCTTAAATCACAACTTGGAATTTACAACAATGGTAATCATAAAAAAAAATTCACATCCCACAAAAATGGCTTTTCATACATAGTTTGAATAATATCTTTTCAACAACGTCAAAGATTCATCGCTTATCGTATGCAAAAGATTTCGACTTCAAGGTCACTGATCCATTAGAAAGTAGTTAAATGAACACATTTTAGTGATCGCAAGATAATGTTTTTTTCGCATAAATGTTGTGCCAAAAGACTACTATTAATTATTCAACTAAAACCATCCCCAATACATGACCAGTAGGAACAGCATCACAAATATCGCCAGCGCCAGTCCTCCCATCATCTGACATAAAAACACCATCCTCCGCATAGATCTCCTTGCCGTATTGGCGATCTCCCATGTCTCGATCGATGTCTGGTGCAGGAGGTTTGCCGCCTCTGTCAAGTTGGTCACAGCCTGGTGCTGGTATGCCAACCTTGCCTGGGAACTCTGCAGTTCGGCAGCCATTGACTGAACCTTTTGTGCCTCGGCCTGCGTCATGTCGAATGCTTGTCCTACGGGTACCCCATGACTACATAAGGCGTCACCACCGGCTGCTACTGCAAAGCTCCTAGTCCTGCCCTCCTTGGCATGGGGATGCTCTTTCGTGTCGTCTGACGGGTGCGCGCCCCACACAGATTTGGCCGATGAATTACCATGGTCGGATGGGGTAACTCGGGAGTAGGTGACATTCTCGGGTGGTCTCCAGCAGTCCTTTCGATGGACACCTCGTGATCTGAATCGGTGTCAATATGAGGTTCCTATTCTCGAATGATAGGCAGGTTGGCCCGGGGACGACCGGTGACATAACCCAACTCGTCGGCCGAGTAAGAATTGTGAGAAAAGATGATGATGACATAGTGAAACTGAGATAAGAGTGCACTAAGTCACTAAGGGTGCGTTTGGTACGCAGACAGGACAGGACAGGACGGGACAGGACATGGTGGGACAGGACAGGACATGACAGTTGTTCAGCGTTTGGTAAGACATGATAGGACTGGACAGAACTGGTTAAAATGACCAATTTACCCCGATGAGTCAATCCTAGAATACCATGATCAAGCAAAAAAGCCCTAAATCGATTCTAACCACCCTGAATCGCCATGAACGCACAAAACAATATTCAAACAAAGAAAATTGATTAAGATTCTACGAACTATCCCAAATCAGCAAATAGATTAAGATTATACTCATATATAATCACGAAGAAAATTGAAGTTCATATACCTGCTGAATCAGGATATCCCTAAATCGATTTTGATCAAGCAAAAAAAAACCCTAAATCGATTTTGATCAAGCAAAAAAAACCCTAAAGCGATTTTGATCAAGCAAAAAAAAAACCCTAAATCGATATCCCTAACCTGTTCATCATCTATTCCGATCAAATCCTCCGCCACATCGTATCCCAACCCAACCGCCGCGATGGAGTTGAACAGCAGTCGCCGTCACCTGTGGAAGCGATGGAGGAGAGGAGAGACGGTGGAAGTGATGGAGTCGACCAGGGTGGAAGCGATGGAGGAGAGGAGGGACAGTGGAATCGATGGAGAGGAGAGATGGTGGAATCGATGGAGGAGAGGAGAGACGGTGGAATCGATGGAGTCGACCAGGGTGGAAGCGATGGAGTCGATTGAGGGTGGAAGCGATGGAGTCGATTGAGGGTAAAGAGGTAAAGTTTTCCTTGTTCTAGTTAGTGCCRGGGGTAAAGGGTGGACAGCCGTGTCCCACCCTTGTACCACTTAGTTCTAGTTAGTCCCATATAAAATCACACCAAACATGGGACAAGTGTGTCCTGTTCTGTCCTGTTCCACCTTGTCCCATGCACCAAACGCACCCTAAGGGTATAACTATAATCATTTATGATAAGCAATGCCTATTCACACACCAAGTACGATGCTTCAAAGGTTTTGAAAGGAAAATCATTTTAAACATATTTCCAACATAACCATTTCAACTATAGCATTAATCCTTACTTAATTAAACATAGGTGATCAGGCTTTGTTCAATTAAGGTCCAATAATGCAATACTGATTTAGTTATACTAGCAATATGTTCAGAAATTTGAAAGTTATTTCCAGTTTTCGACTATAGTTTGGGCTTTCCGAAAGAAAACCAATGTTCTCTATAACCTTCGGCTCTGATACCAAACCTGTGACACCCCGCTAAAGCAGAAACATGAAGTGTAACAGCGGAAGGGTTTCATAGCATAAGGTAGAAGACAACACCAACCGTAGTAAAGAAGATAGTTCAAAGGTTTACAATGTCACAAAATTACAACATTTCAAAAGGGAAATAACATGATTGACAAAAAAAAGAGGAAAACGATATGATGCCACATGATGCCTTCCTATATGCCAACCTTAATGAAGAACACCTGAAAAGCATGCCGAAGAAAGAGGTCAACTACTGAAATAGTTGGTGAGTTCACAGGTTTAAAAAAAATACAAAGTTTAACTTGCAAAGTGGTTTAATCCACATAATGGAATAGTAATCGGTAGTATGTAAAACACAAGATAAAATTGTATGCTTAAATGCTAAAGCCACGAGACCACTACCAAACCTAATGACAGCACCCCGCGACTACATGTTCTATCGCCAACATGAGTACTATTATTTCTCACGTCCTACCTTAGTGTTGAAATAAATCCACATGTGTAAGACTTTTGTTTATAATTCTCACGTCCTACCTCAGCGGTGAAATAATTCCACATGTGTAAGACCCTTGATTATTGGTAACATGCACTTCTAACTCGTCAGTCAAAAGTGGGGTTGTCAAACCAAATAGCGCTATCTATAATTACCAACGGTTCATATAAATGAATTAATAGGTTGTGTAAGGGAAAACGGGGATTTAAGAGCGATAGCAAAAGAAAACTCAGGCAAACTAACATAAGCACACATACCAAAGTGCAATAGCAATAAGAATAATTTAACAATTCGCGTATAATTAAACAACCGGTACATAGTACTTGTAGCATGCTTTTCCCCCAAAAATGCGGAAATACTAAAAGGTGGCTATGAAAACTCACCGAGATATGCAAAAGACGGGTTCCAAAAATCTACTGAATGCAACCAAGGTCTGGTCCTACGAAAAATCGAACTACTAATAAGATTCAAGCCTAGATCTTAAGATTCGGGTGATGTTTAATTATTATAAAATGCCATATGAAAAACCAAATTTTATTTGAGTTATCATAGTATGGAATAAAAATAAAAAGAATGAAAAGTTAATAGATTTTATTATTTCAATAATGAAAGAAAGAAGAGGGGTACAACAATATTTTTTTACACATAAACAGCTCATATTATTTTTAAGTTTTCCTGTCGGGATTTTACTGTTATTTTAGGCGGTTCTTTACTTGCTTTCCAAAATCTTTTGAGTCAGGAGGTTTTTACCCAAGTTAATATATCGAAATAGGAGACTTTTGGCATAAGAAACATAAATTATGAAGATGGATAGGTCCCTCAAATAGGTCTTATAAGGTTAGCTATCTAGAAGGTTTAGCTGTTTGCCCACTTGTTTTATGAAGGCTGTTTGGAGGTCGAAATCTCAACGTGTTAAGGTGAGACCACTTGGGTTTAAAAGCTAACACACAGACTTAAATTCCAGAAGAAGTTTCAACTTATTTGGTTAGGTATTTTAGAAGTTACAGTCCTCCGAAGACAATAGATAGAATCTGTCAGATTGCTAAAGGGAGGGGGTATTAAGAATATGTGTTCCAACCTTTGGTTCTCACACACCTATTTATTTAGATTATGATTTATAAACTTTAAATCAAATAAAAAGAAAGAAATGAAGAAAAATATATATATATATTATGATGGAAAAAGAAAACTAGATTAGCCATCAAAACATGCATGCATCAAGATAAACAAAGTTATCTTGCCAAAAATCCTAAATATGATCGTCATGTGTGGTTAATGAGAAATCCTTTGAAATCCAAGCCTTCGGCTCATTTTTTTTGTACTTGAGATAT